CAGCTCCAGCCTCGAGCAACATCCGCACCACTTCCAACTGGCCATTGCCAGCTGCAATCATCAAGGCGGTTGTCCCGTCTTGCGTTGCTGCATTCTTGTCAGCTCCAGCCTCGAGCAACATCCGCACCACTTCCAAGTGGCCAGCGCCAGCTGCAGCCATCAAGGCGGTTAGCCCGCTTAGCGGCAGCCATTGAACTTCGCGGCCTTGAACCACAGCAACCACAGTTGCATTCTTCTCAGCTCCAGCCTCGAGCAACACCTGCACCACTTCCAAGTGGCCATTCTGAGCTGCAAGCATCAAGGCGGTTGCCCCGTTTTGCTTTGCAGCATTCTTGTCAGCTCCGGCATCGAGCAACACCTGCACCACTTCCAAGTGGCCATCCAGAGCTGCAGCCATCAAGGCGGTCTCCCCGTCTTGAGTTGCTGCATTCTTGTCAGCTCCAGCCTCGAGCAACACCTGCACCACTTCCAAATAGCCCAGTGCCGCCGCGGAGTACATAGGCCATTCAGGTTGAGGGCTTGTGCCTCTCCTATTTGGATCCAGTGGTTTCTGAAGCAACTGTTCAACTTCAACAACTCGATTGTTCTCACACGCATGGAGTAGTGCCTTCCACTTGGCCTCCTCAGGTGCACAGAAGTCCAAGATTACCAACTGCAAACTTGATAGATTTCTGACAGGCATATCATCCTGTAGCTCGCCCATCTCTTCACTGAAAAGTCTTTGTCGAAATCTCGAGTATCCAATCCGACTGGCTAGGAACTTTTTCAGATCCTTTACAGATTGTCCACTCTCGACCATGCAGCTGAGTTCCTCCTCATGAAGCTGGGTGACAGTGGCACCAGAGAGTGCTTGAATTTCCATGGCTCTCTCTTCTGGAAGAGGAGGTGACACAGTGACACGACTGAGCGAAAAAATGGCGTGCGAGGATGGCTTGCTTTCCATGGCGCAGGATTGGTTTCAAGGAACGAACAGCGCAGCATCAAGGCTTAGCGCAGGAAGACCGTTGAGTCTTCTAACAACGACCTGCCGTTGTTCGGTCACCGAACCGACATGCAAAAGAATTCGTATCCACATGGGATGCGACCGACCCCCGTTTGGACCACTCCGACCCTGGCGGGATCGGGATCACGAAAGGATTTCAGCGGACCGTCTCCCGCAGAAATACCTGGGTGTCACTGCCCTCAGTGCCCTCACCCTGTTTCCAGGTTGGTCACATCCCATTTCCGTCCTGTCCAGACCCTGCCTTTGGACATCCAAGAGTGCAGTTGGCTGCAAACTGAGTCTTCTCCGTGCATGGGAGTGCTCTGAAGCAGCGCACCACCCGAAATGAGATGGAGGAATGCTCGCTTCTTGTGCTGCAATTGCTACAATGCACTTGTAGCTATTCTTAAGCACATCAATTTGGAACATGGCACACAACACACACGGAGAAACACACAATAGAGCTTGGCGTTTCAGCAAGAGTCCACATTCGCAGTGGATGGTCAGTTCGTGCATGACTTGCATGACCTGTATGTTAGCCCTGCCACTGACAATGCTAATGGCTCCCAGAGTTGTCAACGGCTTCAAAAGTGTTGGACGCGGAGTCGTTGAAGGGACGCTTCACCATGAAAGACACAAGGGTGAAAGTAGAACTGGTTGAAAAAGGCCACCCACAGGCGCTCACAGTGATCACTATGGGTAAAAACAAGCCATGCTCGTTACTTGAACGGATCAGTTTAAACAACCACTCCCACTGCTCACCCACAGGACAAACTGACAAAACCTGGGAAAAACTGGTCTAACAAATGGATTCATCCACTGACTATACTGTTACAAACTATGACAAACTGACTAAGAGAGGTCTCCAGGACTGGATTTCGATGGACTGAGTTTCCTCCGACCGACACCGAGGGGCATGGTGAAACCAATTCACCAAGCTGAGGTCGGCGCGAGCCGAGTAGAACACGTGCAGTGTGGGGGTGCAGCCCAGGGGCTGCAAAAGGATCAAAAATGAACCATGCAAAACTGGTCCCAAGGTGACTTCGCCAATTCCCTTGACGGAGCAACCAACAAAGGGTGGACACGACAAAGGGACTAGTGTGGGGCAGTGTTTTGTAAATGGCAAAGTTCCTCTGAGTTTCTCGCAGCAATTGGTCTATAAAGGCTGTTAAGGGGAGCAAAAACAAATGAAAAGGAAAATAAAAGGACACCGCATGAAAAAGAAAACCTGAAGGAAAGAAATTTGAAATGACCATGTCAATTGAAAAGTAGGCAAGCAGGTATATACACTGCCTGTGCCAGAAAACAGGCAGCAAAGTCATGCAAAAAGCTTCTGTGCACCCATGAAATGGCTTCCAAATGGTATTAGTGCGTTTTGCAATGGTATCATCAGCCCAAAGGTAGAAAGCGGCTCCAAACACTGGTTGCAGGAGAAAAGCAGCGACGTGTCGGCCCAGATTTCTGGAAAAAGAGACGGCCTCGTGGAGAGTTGACTCTCCGAAAGTACCTATGTACTATGACGACCTACTTCGCACTCCCTCCCTAGACCTCCAAGACCCTTCAAAAAAGGGTTGACCTATGTTGACCTGGTGTTTGTAGTGTAAAGTCCATAGTTGACTCGGTATTTGGCGCCCATTCAATGAAAGGTGGGTCAGGAAGCCTATAGGGTCTCCTTTTTGAGCCTCACGCCGCTGGTGGAAGCCTGGACTTTTCAGGCTCCCCACGGAATCGACGGTCGCTCCGAACGGGAGCAGCGCGTTGCGGGAGTTGGGCGTCCAAACGTCGGGCATCGCAGCGCGCGCGCAGCCGGCTGCGCAGTCACTCCAGTCATCCATGGGAATCTGCACCCTCTGCGTCAGCCAAGGTAGAAATGAACCCTTTTCTTTGTACCTTATATTAGGCAGAAGGCTGCAAGTGAGCACGACATCTGGAGTCCAACCCCCCCCCCAAAACAGGAGGATGGGATTTTGCACTTGAAGATTTCTGGGGAGGTCTTCCCCCAGTTTCATCGGCATCACCGCCAGAACGTGGTCGCAGTCATTCGCGCGTGGAGTCTTTGCCCACCCACATTCTTCGCCGGCCAAAAGGGACAGCGATGCGGCTCACGTCGGATGCCTGGCAACCCGGGGTGGGTCGAGCGATGCGGCTGCGGCTAGGGTCGTTCAGAGCGGAACTCCTCTCTCTCAAAGGTGGAAAACGTCGTTTTTTTTGCGCCCCACCTGATGTGGACGGATCAAAACACCCAGGTTCTGTGTGGGGGGGGGGAGTAACAATCTTCGAGTTCAAGCAAGCCTTGCGTAGGAGGTCCAGGCTTGAGGATCTTTGGGGCACGTGTGGCAAATGGAGAACATACCCTTTTCCAGCGCCTCAATTGCTGCAAGCATGGAGTTCTGTCGGGTCCCGACCGCGTGCCCCACGCAAGCATGCCACGCACGCGCCCACGCACGCGCCCTTTCACGTATACGGGGTTTTGGTCATCGGAAACGCCGGAACGACCCGGGCGTGACTCCGGACTTGGTGATGCTTTCCAAGGGTCGGAGAATGTCGGAGAGGACGGATGCGTCGAACCAGGTCGAGAAGAACACGGACTCCCTGGCCTTGCCGACCAAGGTCGTCGTTCCTGGGCCACGCGGAAAACAACCAACGCGGCGCGGTCCAGTTTCGGCGCCCAGCCTCACCACGGCGCCTAGCTGGGAAGCTGGGTGAAGATGAAAATGGCATATGACCAAAAGATAGAAAACCGTTTTTCAGACTCCCTTCCAAAATTAAGACTCAGACTCCCTGGACCACCGTTTCCTTCCCAACCGGCATGAGACCCAAGAAGGCGTGGCGCCGGTCTGAAGGCGTGGCGCCTCCAACGAGATCCAGTCCCGAGTCCAGTCCCGAGTTCCGACCGGATCAGGGCCCCCACCTGCGAGGTCTTCGGCCGTGAGAGCGGGTCCGGGGTCTGGGAGGCCTTGTTCCTGGACGGATGGGCCACGACGGTCGTTCCGCCGTTCCGTCTCCGGCTGCACCGGCGTTTCGAGTCGGATCGCCACCGTGCTGGGCGGATCGTCTCCAGTTCTTTCGGACGGATGTAGGACCAAGGATGTATGGCCAGTACCATATGGGTGTTTTTGTGTGTTCGCTTCCCCGTGTTCAGTTGAAGACCTGTCACCTTGGGAAGTACTAGCAATTGGGAAGATGCTAAGTACTGCCTCCAGCTCCACACTTGGTGGTTGCTGCATCTTCCCTTGCATCTCCTGGCTGAAACTCAAACCACCAGGTTTGACTCGTTGGATCTCGTTAGCTCATGAACACATCGGATGCACCGGGGAGGAAGTAGCGCGTACAAAACACATCCCCAAGCAGAGTTGTTGGCCGCCTTGAAGTTCAGGTAGTCTTTGTTGAGCTCCACCAGCCCGGTGCCCAGCTACCCAAAAGCATCCGCGCCTCCTCCCCTTGAGCGGCGTATCCTGCTTGCTGGCCTGCATGAATAACAAACCGGCTTGCTTGAGTCGTGAATGATGGAGAAAGGAAGGAGAAGTCATAGGCTCATCATAATAGGCTCATCCATCCATTCCTTCATTCCAGCTCGTTTCAACTCGATCACGGAACCCACATTTCGCTCGGATCTCTGCCAGTTCCAAATCCCGCCATACCATTCATGGGCTCTCTACAGCACCATTCACGGCTCCCAGAAGCTGGGGGAGCGTCTCCTGTTCTCACCATTCTCTCGGATTTTTTGAACTTTCTATCCAGGACCCCCACCACCTTAGCCCAGTTGAAGCCTGCGAGGCCGGCCGAGAGGCCGGCCGGGAGGCCGGCCGCGCCGCCGCGCCCCGCGGCGCGGGCGGCGGCTCGACGAGGCGGCGGACCGCCTCCTGGGAGACGAAGTCAGCGGTGGCATGTTGTGGTTCTTGGTCCCTTTCTACAAGAAGTGTGGACGGGATCTCATTGTGAGACCCTCGCCAACCCAGGGCAGGCGCAGGCCGCGCCCGTGCCTGAATCCTCCTTGGGCACCCGGCATCCAAACCTTCACAAAGCACCGGGCCAATCTGCAGCGGCGCTGGCCCAACCTCTTCTTCCTCAGATTTGGAGGGAGAAGATCCACCCAAACAAGCAAATCATTACTCAATGTATCGCATCTCAGACCAACCAGTTTTTGGAGAATCTATCATCATCTGGGAAAACCGATCCATTCAATTGAATTCCATTAAAAATAACTATGAAATGAGCCCGAATGGGGTGTTTGTGGGGGTGTTTTTGATTGGTGTGCGAAAGGAAAAGGAAAGGTTAACCGCTGTAGGCTGTAGGGAATTGACAGCCGCCGTGTCTGAGTGGGCCCCTTCTTGGATCTGGGGCCCTTGGATGCAGCGGTTGGGCTGGTCTCTAAGCCGGTTAGTAACTCAACACAAAATCATTCTCAGCCCCAGATCAACCATTCTTATCGGGTGGATCTTGGGAAAGCCCGCGCTCCGACTCGTCGCTCCGGTCCCGTCCTCCACCTTCTCGGCGATGCACCGATAGGGCGCCCGGCGCCAACGGTCGACCTCAACCGGTGGACCCGCACCGGACAGGTCACCGGACGGGTCCCCCGTCACTGGTCACTGCAGGTCGCACATGGCTTTGGTTCCTCTTTTTGGGCCCCGGCTCTGATGGCTCTGATTCCCTCAAGCGCTGGCAGGCTCGAATCACGGCCCACGCCTCAAAAGACCCTGGGCGCCCAGCAAAACAACCCGACCCCCAGGAAACCACCATGAATAGAATGGAATAGAACCCATCCAACCCCCCCCCCCCCAAAAAAAAAAAGGGTGAATCTATGGGGGGAATGGTTTCCCGGCCACCGGTGACGCCCACTGTGGCGCCCCACCGTGGCGCTGGAGCGACTGGACCGTCGCCTTTGGGCCTCGGTACCGCTCGGGGCAACATGTCGTGGTGCCCGAGCGAAAGCGGTTGCCCCCCCACCATCCCCCCATCCCCCACTAGAGTCACTATAGGTTTGAGCAGTGCTCCACGTTGGTCTTGAAGAGACTTGAAAGACTCCCAAAGCTATAAATAAGTGGAGACCATGATTGGTCAAAGCATGTCAAAGCTATCAGACTCTGAAAAATATAGTGATGGCCTTCAAGAAGTCTGGAGCTGTTGGTCCAAAGAACTCTTGCGCATGAGATGATCGATGTGTTCTAGAAAGCCTGCTGCTGTACATTCTAATCAACACACGGCCCCCAGCCAGCGAGATCCAACCCTTGGTTCGGTGAGCCATGTCTTGGAGTCTCTTGGCAACCCACATGGCAACCCGTGTCGTTTTTGAAAAACCCTTTTCTCTCCTCCGAAGAAGAAAAACAGCTTCACCTCCGCAGCACTCGGATTCCCGTGCCGGGCTCCGGGTGTTGAAACCCGCGCGCCCGCCCAAAAGCGGAGCGCCCGCCGGCCCAGCCTCGGCGTAGGTGTTCCGCGCGTGCTCCGCCAGGCGCTGGCAGGAGCTGAAGAGCGTAGCCATCTCTTGGGCCTGTCAAGAGGAGCCAAGCGAGGGGATGGAATGTGGGGCGCGGTCCGTGGATCAAAAGGAAGTCAGGCAAGCCTGGTGGAACAAGTCGGGCAAGTTCATGGGAGAGTCAAAAGCAGTGGGAAAAAGGGAGTGGACTGCAGAGATAGTTGCAGAAACTCTCCACTAACCTATCCATATCTATTTCGTTCTATTTCAACGTCTTTCATATGCCTTCTATGATCCGCATCATGGAAAGTTTTCGACTCTGTTTCATGCATCTCCTTTCGGGAGCTCATCTACTCATAGATGTCCTGGACCGTGCAGCCATTTCTGGCCATTGTCTGCAAACACGCAGGGTCCATTGGATTGGAGAAAGCACTGCCAAGCGCCCCGACCCAGGGTCCAGCTTCAGGCACTCCCAGCGCAGAGGCAGCCTAGCGAGCAGTTCATGACAGTGATGGGCGATACAGCCTTGCGGGAGCCAAGCACCACTATAAGTGGTGTCGGGTGATCGGGGGACTGTTGCATCCCTCATCCCTCCATTCCTCAATGTGAACATATATGCAAGCATGTCAAGTATATTGGATCCCGTTTCTGAGGACCTGCATCCTTCTTTGGGCCGCCCATGATTCCTTCTTTGGTAATTCCTCCTCGATCTGGTCACGGCCTCGCTCATCGCGATGTCTGGACCACGAGGAACTCGCGCGGACGGAGTGTTCGTTGCACATCTTCCAGAAACCCAAGTCCTGGTGAAAGCAGAAAGACCTGGTGGTAAAGTGACCGAGATCCTTGGACAAGCCCTCTGTTCCAAGGGAAAGGCGGGCGATCAGCAGCTCCGACCGCACCTCCGAATGGGTCGGGTCGGAGGGCGACCAGGGTCGACTTCGGCGATCGGACGTGTGGCCATCCATAGACCATCCATGCCCCCTCCTCTCTCCTGCAACAAAAACAACAAACTCCTAGAAGTTCAAAGACCATCTTGGACGCCAGAGAATATAGAATTATTCACAACTGGCCTGGAGACTTCTCACGACCGCTCGCTGGCGGTCTGAATGCAGAGCATCCTGAGTTGAACGGATATGCAGCATCCAAAACTCCGAAGACGCTGCAAGAAGCAGGATGGTATGCTTTGATTGAAAAAAGACAAGCACATCCTTCAAATGAAGAATCACTGAAGCAGGTCACTTTTGTCTTTTCCATGGGACCGCCCTCCACCGCCCACACTGAGTCCACCACAGTTTCCTCATGCCTCAAGTTCAACACTGTTGGGGTCCGATCAAGAAGGCACGAAAGTGGAGAGAAGAGGCATCGAGTTCAGTTTCTTTTGCTTCACCTAGATCATAGATCAGCTTCGATAGACATACTGTATCCTGTCCAACTCCCCTGATCTGTAGAGGCTAGCACAGTTCCTGAAGTTTGTTTGCAATAATACCAGTGGTATGTCACATGGATGGCCCCCAAACCTTTGGCTAGCATTAGGGCTGGTGGCGAATTTGTCCCAAGAACTGGCTCGCCCAATCAGCCAGACCTCAAACCCATCACCCCGACTCCACCACTCCGCTGCGGTGGTTTGCCGCCCAGCCACTCCGCCGCCGCGAGCTTGACCTGCCACGGTTGGGTCGGATCGATCCGACCCGATCTCTCCGTCAACACCACACCGAGCGGGCCCGTTGCTTAGGATGCGACTCGATGTTCACGGGAATCCAAAGACACCTCTAGGACCTAAGAGCGATGGCCTCCACCCTAGCGATACACACCTCTAGGACCTCTCTGGGATGCCAAGCTCCACATCTGAGGCGACCACCTGCTTTCGGCTCCTGGCCAACCCCTGTCGCCACTCCTGCACAAGAGAACTTCTGTCCACGGCGGGCTTCTATGGCATCGTCTCACCCACTCGCATTCCCAAAGGCACAATTTACACAATCAATTCCAGGACTCAAAGGGTATCCACCTCACCATTTCCAAGGCTTCAAGGGGTGTCCACCGTCACGCGTCGCACGTGAGCTCCCCTGTTTGACCCCGTCGCGCGTTACGGCTCTGCTTCTCCCCGCCGTTGAGCTGGTGCAGTACGCCGCGTTGTCCCCAGCTGGGTCGTGGGGCTCCCAGCTGTTGATTCACCCAGCCGTTGCTTGGGTGGGGGTATGCCTGGATTTCCAGCGAAAGAATCCAGTGTTATACATGCCAGGACCGACACCAAGAGGTGTCTGTCTATAAATAGCCTCTTCTTGCTTCTTGAGGTTATATAAGAGGTGTCCAAACACCAGCTGTTGGAAGGTCCTGGCGTATCTGGTATATGTAGATACGTGTCGTGTGCCTCACCCCAGTCTCACTCACATGGACCTTCGCCATGGACGACGAAAAGAAGCTCACGGACCAAACTCAAGCGGTCCAGGACCATTGCACCCTTCGAAACAGGTTGGTGACCGATTTGGAGAACTGGACTGCTCCTAGAATTCGTGCCGATGTTCGCGCAGAAGACACGTCTCAAGGCCGGTCTTTCAAATACGTTTCGTGGCATGCCGTGCAGTAGAAAGTGCATCAGCAACCTCTTTCGTGGACGTGCGACAGCACCCCTGTGCCTCTGTGCCACAAAAAAAGAGGGTGGCACAACTCAAGCATCACCAATCAATAGTTCACCACACTCGCAGCGCCGGTTCACCACAGCGCTCCTCTGGTGCAGCACCCGACTTCCGTGTGAAGAGCTGCACTGGTGGTAACACCTCGAGAAGAGGAAAAAAGAAACTGCATCCTGCGCAATGTATGTGTGCATGTGTGTGTGTGTGCGTCGCTGCGTGTGTGTCGAGGTGACGACGGAAAATCCGTCGTAAGAATGTGTTCAACGAGTCCAACTACAAAAACTTCAAACAGCCCAACCATAACCCTGGGAGTCAAAGACTATAAAAAGAATAGTCTGACTGGGCCTGACTAGGGGACCTGAAAGGGAACTTCCTTTACTTCAGCCGGTCAAAATATAGTCTTTGGACTTCTACGGATAAGGTACCCAGTCAAGGGACTGCTGAGCAAAGGCCTTCTGATCGATTCGGAGTGGTTCACCCCAATCCATGCACACACCACCCACGTCGCACACCTTGTCACAGCCCCAGGTTTCTCTCCCTTCTCCACCACTCTTTGGCCCTCCAGTCCGGCCTCCTGTCTGCTCAAATGGGCCTCGGACGCAAGCAAAAAGAACCACTGAGGTCCCCAAGGAGGTCGATACAATTTGTCCATTTAGTACGTATCTATCCATTTGAGGTTGAGATCAAAAGCAGGGCTCCTGGTTGTATGACCCGTGATTCTACCAACCCAAACACTGGAGGTATCCTGTTGTGAACCCAGTCACAGCCCTTTCCATCCAAATCCATCCAGACATCAAACGTGAACTTCCAAAAAAATGACTTGGTGCGGCGACCCAGGTTTCCTCGATGTTGATCTGGACTCACAAAACCAGCTGGAACCTTTTCAGACGACCTTTTTGACATCACCATCTGCTAAAAAGAAGATTGACTTCTGCTGTCATGTTCGGGATGGACAATATTCTTGTGATGTCTTCTGCAAAGTCAGTGTTCAAAAAGATCCTATATAGCTGCAAATTTAAAGTTACCCTCGGCCTAGGAACCCACCTCATGGAAGCACGAACATCCTACTCCACAGATAGCAATTTGGATGAGTCGAGCCTTCCAACGAAATCCACCTTTGCTTCTTTGATATCAACCCCGCCAAAAAGCTCCAGCTTTTCCTCTTCTCCCTATATGCTTAAGCCTGAAGCATCATATTGCCAAAGTGCAATGGTACGGGCCTTATTATTTATAATATACGTCCCTTGTTGTGCCGGGCCCCACAAACAAGTGACGTAGAATACCTGTTTTCCATTTCTTGTCCTTTAGAGCTCTCCAAAATACGCTCCCAGGCGACCCCCACGCAGTGATGCAACGCAGATCTCAGCGTGGCCTCGTCGCACCGACCAAGCCGGTGGCCGGTGGGGTTGGCATATGACCCCCCTCCGGTACGGGCAAATGAGAAGGCTAGATGTGCCTATGTACATATACATATCAGCTGCTTCCAAGGGGTGACCAATGGACAACCCTACGCTGCTTATTGGTCACCATTGGGCACCCATTGGAAGCACTAGGTATACATATATACACACATGTGTGTGTGTATATATGATGCATAAATCATATAAACCATTGAGATATAACATTCTTGTTTTGCAAGGGTGGTTGCCTGTTCTCGTCAACATGAACAGGGCCCCAGGTTCCAGAATTCCGTTCCTGGTAGGATGTGCTTGTCCAAGAGTCCTTGTATCTTGTACTGTGACCTTTCGTCGGTGATGTAAGGGACACCTGTGACACCTCCAACTTCCACCTTGTGCAGACTGAGGCCCTATGATGACCTGCCATCCGGATGATCAGACACCCACTCCTTTGCATCCAAATCCGCAGGCATCGTGTTTCTGTCCTTCTGAAGAACATGCCAAAGACTGGCCTTCGCCTTCGACCCACCTCATGGTGCCCATCTTCTCCTTCTTTCAATTCGCAGATTCCTAAACAAAACAGACACCTTCGCCCCCCAAATCCTCTCAGCCGTCGGGGTGTTCTCCTTCTCCCGTGGGCGCTGCCTGTGTTTTCGCCATCCCGCCAAACTCCGCCGCATCGCGCTCCCGCCTGAACGGCCGCAGCTCGGTGCTCCGGATTCTCCAAGAGCTTCAAGAGGGTCCCAGCCAGGGCTTTGAGCCTCACTGACAGGGCCTGAGACAGAGACAAGACATGGCATCGGGGCCGAGGGATTGGACGAAGGGGAACGGGAACGACGCGGCCGGAGCGCCCGGAGTCGGAGTTTGGGGGGGCATAAGAACTACTCCCGGGGTTTGCATCTTGTTTGGTGAGAGACGGTGTCCACACCCAATCGAAGGTGCTTCTCAAGCAATGTTTGGGCTCTTTTTTTCAGCCGGACCTTTGGAATAGACGCTGCCTGGTAGGAATACACGCCCTCTGGCAAAAAGGACTGCCAGGGACTAGGGAAACTGGACCTGCCCAAAAAAGGCACCAAAGCCGCTCTTAGGGGTCCTCGAGTCGCCGTGAGTCTTCCAGGGTTCCAAAAAAAGCGAAGGAGTTGCAGAACTCGAAGGCTGGACAAACGAGAAAGAATAAAACATCCAAAACTGTCCCCAGCGATCTAAGAGGTCGCTTAGAAGGTCCAAAGGTGTGAGACCAGCGACTCCCAGGACGTCCTCCACCTGTGGATCTTCGAGTCGCGTAGTTTGTGGCCGGTCCCGGACTCGGACGTGCCGGACGCGCGGGCAGAATGCCACGCCCCCCCGTGGCTCGGTCGTGGCTCACCTCCAAGCCAAGAGCCCACTGGGCCAGCGCTCCCTTCTCGGGTCGGCTGCAGACCTGGTCGGCATATCTTAAGGGAAAACCCCCCACCAATGGGGTAGACTGGTCTATTTCCTTTTTTGAGGGGGTCCTATGGAGGGGTCCTATGGAGGTCCCATTCCAAGACACACTCATCTCATGGTTTGTGCGGACCACGTTTTGGGATGACTTTCTGGATGAGTCCAAAAGCCACTCCCAGGCCAGAACAGCACTCAAGTGTCCGCCACTATGACCTGGGGGCGCCCAACATGGTGCATCGCAATGCGAAAAAACTCCAAGTGGAGCAGCCATCGAAACCACCCACCTCCCTCCTAGGCCAGGGCATCAGGGCATCCAGCGTCTTTGTTCCAAGGCCCATCACCAGCTGTTTCCCTACCATATCGCCTCTGCGGACAGAAAGACGTCTGGCCGGCAAGACCAGGCCTCACTGCTAGCGCAGCCGACTGGAAGGTGGTTCAAGGCACGGGAAAAACCGCCGGTCACCGCCATAGACAAAAATAAGAGTAAAGACATCCTGCGGATTCCAAGTTTTCGGTGTTACGGTAGTTCTGATCACCACTTCCTTTCAATGATCCACCGGATGGTTTAGTTTAGATCCATCCCTTTGGAACACTCTACTTGGTTTGTTGGGGGAGTCATATGTTGAGTTGATCTTGCCGCTGCTCAGCAACTCCAGCTTCGGTTGAGTCTCAGGTTACCCGTTCGATGTTCGCTTCGCCGGTCACCCGTTCCGGTCACACAGAAAGCCGCCGGAACGCTCCGCTTCGGCGGAGGGGTTTACGTTTTCAGATGCGCAGTCAACGGGAGGATCCCCAGATGTTCGGGCCTTGGATGCCCCACCAAGAGCAATTGTCCAGTCAACGCTCTTGCTTCCATTCCCACACGTGGTTCATGGAAACCATGTCCGAGTCCGGTTCGTTTTGGGTTGGATCCAAACCTTTCAGGGGACTGTACCCAAAAATCAACGTCAACGAGGTGAATCCAAGAGAATCCGAGCCATCGAATTCCCTGACGTTCAGCTGGGTCTCCGCACGTGGTGCGCCCAGCGGGTGGAGGGGCAACACACCGGCTCCCTGGTGTGAGATGTGAGGACAGAATCGCAAGAGGTCATGGTCCCCCAAAAAGAACAAGACTAGTGCTAAATGGTCCGTCATTCTGGAAAGTATTGATGGAATTTGAATGAATTTGATAGATAAACTGGTGCTACCCAAGAATTTCCACTCCCGGAACTCAGTACAACCCGTGCTTGTTGACTGGTTGACTGTTCATCTCCTGGAAATTCTGTATACTTCAGGCCTAAACACCAAAGCCAGTCTCAACTCCTCCTCGCTGGCAACCGAAACCCGAAGTTCTACAAAGCCCCATCCATCTAGTGGTAGATATAGTAGTAACATGTAGTAACATGTAGTAAGCAGGATATACCAGGGATAGATGATAAATATATATATATATATATGTGGGTACCTAGGGAGATCGATCAATTGATATAGAGAGAGAGAGAGAGAAAAAAAAAAGGCCACAAACACCATGTTGCTTTACTTTTACTGACTGTTCTATCTGTTAGGGTCACTAGAACAGAAACCGAACTCTCAAATTCACCTCTAACTAGCTTCAACATCTGGGCTAAACCCACACGTCCTTCCTCTTACCCTCCCCAGACCCAGGGGAACTCTAAACCCGCGCAGCCTCCTCAGCCCCGTCGCGACCGCGCTCATCACTCGCTCCGAGCCGCAAAAATGATCCCGCGGCGTCCGATTTTGGAGGGCCGGGAAGGTCATCTTCTTTTTGAGCGTGTGAGAGGGTTGGTGTTTCTTTTGGTTCAAAACATGAGTCGATTGGGAAATTTAGAATGTGTTATATGGTTGACCTGTGAGAGGGTCTCACATGTTCTTACTCGATTGAAAGGGTGCTTTGCTGTTGGGTGTTGCTTTGTTCCTGTGTCTTCTCGGCGAAGACTAACAAGGTGAACTCCACTTCCATGTTGCTCTCGAAGGGCCACTCGGGTGGCACTGAAAAGTCTAAAAACGT